ACCACCACCACCTCCACCACCACCACCACCTCCACCACCACCACCACCTCCACCACCACCACCACCACCACCTCCACCACCACCACCACCACCACCACCGCCTCCACCACTATCACGCCTCTACGGACCGCGTCCAGTCCGACTACAATGAGGCTGATTCCAGAAAACGAAGATGTGATTTGATGTTTTTTGTCTTATTTCATCAGTTGCAGTAATAGTAAAGTAGATATGCAACAGTAAATACAATCGCGTATGCTTAAGGGAAAAAATCAACTGCTCAGTGACCCGCTATTTAGTTCATGACCAGAAACCTTTTATGCAGGCTGCGTTTACATTACCACTGCTTCCAGAGAGCGAATATCCTTTTTAAAGTAGCCTCAACATTGCTTATCTTCAAAAAATACATCCGAACCCACTTTCACTTAGGTCGACACGAATGCTAATCATGAAGATAGGTGCCGAAGGGAAGCTAGTAAGCTTATGCTTGCACTGTAAAAACTCACTGGAAGAAAAAACTCTGTGTTTGTGTACCATTGTGCTTTTCTCAGCTCCCACGTCCAAAACCAAAAGTGAATGCAGATTACACAGCCAAGCCGAGTTTTCGAAACTCGAATCCACATTCTGGACTACTTCCGAGTTCCTCCGCTTCGCATGCAAAAATGGATGAGAAGGAAAATTTGACCTTGAATTTTTAAAAAGTTGCTAATGCATTTGCACTAGCACACTCTTTTTGAAAGATTTATTAGAAATAGTTTTTTTTTTCGGCAAATAGCACAGCAGTTAGGGCGGTAACAGGTTTTTTTTTGCTTCGTTTAGTTATTTTTACCTATAAGTACAATGCGAATTTTACTTTTTAAGACGTACAGCTTCGTCTTTACTTTTATAGCTTTCGTGTCTAGAACGCAAAATCGTGATTCATTTGCTTGATTTTGTTTTTTGTTGAACGCTAGCCAAACGACCAGTTATAGATAATTTCAATTAGATACATAGCTGCTTTTTTTCCGAGGCCGAAGGCTATTCTTAGTGAAATGACGTAAATTTTGAACTTCCTGAAATGTTATTCTTCACACTTACTTTGATCAACTGCAATTCATAAAATCGTTTACCAGCAATGCAACTGATAATTTTCTCGGTGCTACTTTGATTGATGGTCAGCTTAATAATGTTTTTGATGGTTCATTTCGGCTCCTCAAACCAGGGTCTCCTTAATCATTTATAAAATTTTGAGACTAAAACTCCTGCTTCGCTCACTAAAAATGAAACGTGAGAGAGACATCTATTTTGTGCTTTGAAATACAGGAAAACCGAATAAGAATTTTGTTTCGGTTGAGTAAGGCTTAAAAGTTTGTTCAACCAGGGTCAGAAGCGCCAGGCTCTTTTAAGCAGCCAGTAGGCCATCACTATCGTAGAACAAAGCCAAAGAATCAAACTCCTTCCGCTTTCACTCTCTACAGAGGTATCCTGTAGAAGTAATCCAAGTGTAGCAAGTGCTAACAACAATACTTCAACGAAACGGTCAGTGGCCCTTTATTTCAAAAATTCCGCAAGAATGGGCTCCTCTACGTAAGTTAGAATCGTAGAAGGACTGCTTGTTTCTATGACGAAGTTGAGTTTTCGACATTTTGTGCGAACGTTGTCACTGCGCCAATTTTATTTGGCGATCACTTTTTAAATTAATTATTTAATGTTTTTTTTGCAGCCAAAACACGTCAAATGCGAGTTTTATTTTTCCTTTTCGCTGTTTGTATTGCCTCTACCGTTGGTAAGTATTAATTTTTGCGCTGTTAATTTGAGCAGGGCATTACCAATCATCTTCCTAACAACCACTAAACATTGCGCATTGGTGACTGGTACCCACGAGAAAGTAAGCGCCCATTCGGGCAAATTTCGAAAAAATGGATTATATATACTGAACAGGAGTGAGTACTAATTGGAGGTATGCAGTCCAAGACTGAAGGCCATAGCATAGTTCCATCCGACATGTTTGGAGCATCGCCATAACATCACTAACATGGGAAGCTTATTGTTCGGGAGTTCTGGCATTTTTATTTAAAGCCAATAGTGTAGCTGCAGCAAATGTTCGAATTTGTGGATTGTCGCTAAATTTTAAAATACCTAGCATATGCTCTCATTTCCGGCCAAAACACATTTTTGTCCATTTCGGTGCAGTCTATCAAAAAGTATTTTTATCCGTTGTTCAAATTTTCACACATCCTATTATTGTCTGGATTCGTTCTTTCAAAAAAGAAGCCTATTCCTGGCCTGAGATAATCATAGAAGCGGTTGTTCGAAAGTATGTGTACTTAAACCCAGCTAATTTTAAAAGTTTAGGCTCTTACGTTGCTGTTTCGACATTATTTTAAAATCCTGGCAATTTGAAATTTTTTTATTTCGATAGTACTCTTGATCACTGAGACTAAGTTCAGTGGTCAAAAACTTTGCAGGTAAGTTCTAATTTTTTTGGGGATGAAAAAAGTTTCAGGACTTGGATATGAAAAAGTAGACAGGCTTCCATCATTTTTTGTCTTTGGCACTGTTTTTTTTTATATCCAGGACCTTCATAAATTTCGTAATTTTTCAGCTTGAAAGTTTTCAGGAATTATTCGTTTTTGGCCAATGCGACCACTCTGGCATGGGCCTTACTTGCATAGACCTGTGATGTTCATGCCACAACATTACCATTGGCCACACTTCCATGGACCTCCACACTACCATGGATTTCATCATCATCACCACTGGGGTCGTTAAACGAAACCGTGATTTGGTGTTTCTCTTCTTGTCAGCTGTTCCAGTAGCGATGAAATAGATATTTACCAGTAAATACAACTTCTGCATGTGTTCAAAAGTTCGCCAACCATTATGAACAAGCAAAAGTTCATCGTAAGGGAAACCCAAAAACCTAATTACTCAGTGATTCACTAATTTGTTTCGACGACAACATCAAGGATATATTGTCTTCACATCATTACTTCCGAGGATCGGCTAACCTCAAAACAGCCTTAAAACAGCCTGTTTCAAATTATTTAACAGAATCTGCCCTCATCAAAATATTAAACCGACATGAACTTGTTCCATTCAGATTTCACTGAGGCCAGTTCCAGAACAAACAGCAAATCTCGGATAACGAGAGGCGAAACTAGTCAAGGGCATAGAATTCATCAAACTGTGCTAAGAAATAAAACTCATTAAAAAATGCCAACTTCAAACAAATAGGAGTATAATGAGGGGAAGAAGCATTTACTAGATTAGTAATCTAATAAATGGGGGCGTCAATAGCCCTCATACCAGAAATATTACAACCCCTAGAAAAACGATGTAGCCACCCTACATTATACGGATGCTGACGAGGTGCCCCAACACGTCGCGCATAACTGTGGCAGGTTCACTTGACGTTGACCTGAACACCAATTAGTGATGCAGCAGAGGTCAGATGTGCGCTTTTAAACAAGCAGTTACTGGAACTCGGCTTGGCGCGCCTCGGACGGCATTGTACTCGAATTCTTAAAAGTTTTCTTCGCAATGACGGGTAACGTTGCCCTACGGTGAGTGACGAAAATTTGATGTGGCAGGTGGGAAGGGGTTGGATTGCTATGGTTTTCGTCCGCAGAAGTTCAAGGCAGGGGACGGTCAGAGATAAGTGAGTTTAATCTTTACGTGGAGTAGATGGCTAGGTCACGACAGAGAGGGAACGGGGAAAAGGATGATGAGTGGAAAAGAGGAGGAAGTATGTTGCTGGTTTTTTCCGTGGATACCCAGGGTAGGAAAAAGGGTTAAAGTGAAATAAGAGCGGCCTAGCCAAGTTCTAGTGATTGTCTGTAAACGTCCTTGACACAAAAAAACTCCATTCTCTTCTTGCTCAGCATAGTAACATGAAAAGGAAACCACTTACAACTGTGCACAGGTATTCACAATGCAAAAGTATGCACAGGTTTTCAGGGCGTAAGTAAACACTGGAGGTTTTGGGACTAAAAACTGCAACATGAGAAGTTCATACAATGACTGACTTTGTTATCGGCAACAGTTTACAGCACAAACTTGTTTCTTGTTTGCCTGCAAGGATGTAACGCATAGCTAACTTAAATAAATTTTTCTGTAATAAGACACTTTTCCCGCAATCATAAAAACTAAATTTCCCGCATTCTTTGGTTTTTTTTAGTCAGGAACAAACAGAATGGGTTACGCGATCCCCCCGTTTTAATTTCATCCCCTTTGGACGCCTAGGTGCCACGCACAGACGCTTTAAAAAAATATGCAAGTTTTTTGGCGGGAAGGCGATCTCGCGAACCACATGAGCTAAGGGGCTGAAACTTTGTAGGCCACAACTGAACTAGTTACTTCCATTGACACCCGGATTCAAAGTTCCAGAGCTCCTGATGTTCCCAAAAGGAAATCGATACAATGTGCTTTTCGCACACATAGCAATGGAACGAATTTTTGTTGTTCGTCGTCGAAGCCAGTATAAGAATTTGTTACCCGCACTTACTAATACAACTCACTGACTGACTCTCGGTAGATCAGGATTACAGAATTATCGAGAATCCACAACCCTGACCATAAAATCAGTATGGACGTCCGACTGCTCCAGGACTTCAGGCGTAGGCCTGAGATTCATTTATAACAACCCCACGACAACTAATCCAATCCCTTTAAAAATTTCCGTTGGCCGAGCTGTTCAATGAGCAATTTCCCGCCCCCCCTCCTCTGCGTACGTGAAAACGTGGTGAATTTGAATGCATGCTCGGGCTGAATTTGAAATCTTTAAGTCGTACGAATGGGGAACTTTGCTCGACGTTGACTCAAATGACTAGTTAACTGGGAGCAGAAATCATTAAGGCGGTCTTCTGCTATCATTTTCAAAGACACAAGCAATTTGGGTAGTAATTTTTATGCGTTTTTGCTGTGCAGTGCTATAGCGCTGCTACACAGCAAAAACGCATATTGTCGAGAGGCTGTCTGTGTGTGTGTGTTCGGAAAGCGAGTGCATTTT